GTGGAACTAAACGCTCTATAACCACATAAGGGGAATAATTAATTTTAATTTTTCACGTTACTAATTTGCACTTCACGTGCACATATTTGATAGATAAAACTGTCAGTTACGTTCGCAAATAAATCTGAATCTAATATTCACTATAGTTTGCGCGAAATTATGCACTCACTACTGGCACTACTACTAACGTAAACGAAATTCAAACATTCTTTATATACGTAAATTATACTTAAACAAAACATAGAGCGCAAGCTAAGGGTCTCTGAAATCAAAGACGCAACCATAACAATTCACAAATGATTTCTCTTAATTAATATTTTCTCTTAATTTGTGGAAAAACTGTCACCTGTCAATGTTTGGAGACAACGGTGGCGCCATCTATCGACAACTCGGTGGTACTAAAGGTAAAAAAATTCTGTTTTTAGTACCACCGAGATGTCAATAGATGGCGCCACCGTCGCCTCCAAACATTGACAGGTGACAGTTTTTCCACAAATTACGAGAAGAAATTAATTAAGAGGCATCATTTGTGAACTGTTATGGTTGCGACTTTGATTTCAGATACCCTTAGCTTGCGCTCTATGTTTTGTTTAAGTATAATTTACGTATATAAAGAATGTTTGAATTTCGTTTACGTTAGTAGTAGTGCCAGTAGTGAGTGCATAATTTCGCGCAAACTATAGTGAATATTAGATTCAGATTTATTTGCGAACGTAACTGACAGTTTTATCTATCAAATATGTGCACGTGAAGTGCAAATTAGTAACGTGAAAAATTAAAATTAATTATTCCCCTTATGTGGTTATAGAGCGTTTAGTTCCACCGGTGTGCCACAACGCGGCGCTAGTGTTTCTTAGCCCGTAAAACAGAGGAATTTTCATTTGCGAAAAAACCTAATTTAGCGAAGTAAATTGTGAACTTTGGCGATTGTATTACCCTAATTAGACCCTTAGCTTTCTTTCCATACCTCATTTGACCCGTAAAATGTAGAAATAAGTATTTTTATAAATAATTAGTACCACGGAGTTACCGCTAGATGGCGCCACCATGTCCATTTTGTGACAGCTCGCACTAATTACGAAAAAAACCTAATTAAGAGAAATAATTTGCCAACTTTTTTGTATGCTTCCTTAAAATTAGGCCGCCTGCTTTCTTTCTATGTGTGTTTTGTCCTAGAAAAACGTGTGTGTAAGAAGTTGAATTTTTTTTTCAATAGATCGAAGGTTGTCTTTGTCGCACACTGTTGCTTTCCTTGTCTTGCGTCGTTAGACAAGGAGAGCACTACTGTGCGACAAGGATAGACATAGAGGCGCGGTAAACAAGGAGAGCAACAGAGTGCGACAAGGACAGACATATTCACGTGGTAGACAAGGAAGCTAGTAGCGTGTGACAAGGACAGACATATTCACGTGGTAGACAAGGAAGCTAGTAGCGTGTGACAAGGACAGACATATTCACGCGGTAGACAAGGAAGCTAGTAGCGTGTGACAAGGATAACAATATAAATTAGTTCCTCCGTTTCACCGCTATACGACGCTATTATTTTAATGCACATTCAGTCTTTTCTTGGTATATCAGTTCCAAAAATATTACAAATCATAAGTGGATGCTGCTTATCTACGGATCAAGTGCAATCTTTAGGTTAAGCGTGCAGCTTGCGGAACAACTCTAGGATAGGTGCCGTTTCTTGGCCCAAGGCTGTGGTTCCTAATAAACCGAGCGTGTGAGGTTAGGGGTCGCCGTCATCAGCCCTATTGATGAATCTAGTGGCGTCTCTAATATGAAATACACTCCACTTTCTATATCCTTTATAACTTTACATTATACATAAAATCATCCGCTACAGAAATTTCACCTTTAGTAACATCTACTGACGAATTGCAAGTTGTATATTTTAATTGTATATTTTCAGTTATATATAGCTGTATTTATATACAAAAATGAAAAGTCCCATACAAGAGCAAAGGAAGCAGTTTCACTCAGGAACCGACCCATTAGGTTTTGTTTGTTCTACGTGATACTCTCAACCAATAAGTATTCTTAAATTCAAGAATGGGTTGGAAATAACCAACCAGACCCACATTCTTTTCGAAAAACTTTTCATCTCTGCACAACACGGGTTGATGCAAGTCATCGTTATGAATCTTGAGATTATTGAGTTACTACAGTTGAATTCGGTAAGAATATATTTAATTTTATACTCAATATAAAAATAATTACATCAAATTTTACAATTTGTTTTGCTTTGGGGATTACGAGAGAAATGATTGTAATTATAGATGAGAAACTAATTTTTTTAATAGAATCATTTATGGTGATTTACTCGATTGCTATTTTATGTCTAAACGAGTTCAAATATGTTTTATTGCGTTTGTAGTATCAATATACCTGAAACATGCTGATAAAGAGAGCCAATGATTATCGAACAAAAATAGGATTTCTTTATTAGATATTGACAACGTGAAAATCTCAAGATATAACAAATTTAGACAATCGTATATAATTAATTTATACATTGCTATTACGAGTCGATTCTTACTCATTTAATACATATGCATATATATATATGTATATATATATATATATATATATACACATATACATATACACATATACTCACTGTACAAAGCATCAGCCTTAAAAGTTAAATAAAGCTGACGATTTCGAATTTTACAATGTCTGTACAAGTTTCTTTTTTTTTTTTAAACTAAACGTTCTTTCACCTTACACTTTACGTTTATAATGTTTAGAAGAAGAATGTACGATATCTAATACTTGGTTAGTGATATAATTGTGTCACCTTTTTACAATGAACGACATAAAAAATATATATAGTCACAAACGGAAAAATAGTCTGCAATATATCAAACTCGTTACTATAGAAAATAAATATCCTATACTATTATAAAAACTTTGGTTTTTTATTACCTTTTGCCCCGTTTTTATATTTTGCTCAGTATTAAGTAGATTTATCCGAAATAGATGCCTTAACAATACCTTACGCGTATCTTATGTATATATACGTGTGTATGATATGTGTGTATGTGCGTATGTATATATACACACGCACATACACACACATCCCATAAAAAAATTTTGTCTTTTAAGACTTTCTGTTTGTATCCTACTTGTACGTTAATATACAAAATGTGTATGTGTAAATGTACGTACTATCTGTGCGATAATCAAACATCTTCATCTGAAGAATATTGTCTGAATCGATCTTACATCTGAAACTCAAACGCTGCATTGCAAAAACGGTGTCTCACATCAGTCTTACAATTAAATTAGTTTTAAGCGTAATAAGGTATCATTTTATATGCACTATTTAGAAAAAAAAAAAAAACAAGAAAAGAACCGAAGCTAGAAACACACTAAGAAACCGAAAGAAATTGACTAGCATACGAAATATACGTTGTCAACAAGAAGTTTGGATTATTTGCCTTAGTTTACCAATACTGAGTTATTAGTTGATTAATTTTCTTACTGTTCCAGAGTTAATACCGAGAGTGGAACAGTTTTTGAGAAAGTTGATAATCCTACGAAAATTCCTACGTTTCTTTTTTTAAATACACAGCGATTCCAAACTTCCGATCGAACACAAAGTAGAAAATGTTTGCGTATGATCCTCCGCAACTACTTATAGTATTGTACATCGTCTAACATATTATCCGACGAGGAGAGAGTCAGGCTACGTTCCTCGTGCATCCCCTTGGCGTAATTAACTTGCTGGGACACCTATAACAAATTCAAAATAATATCGATATATTAATAATAATGATTAAATGAACTCTATGTCAACACTGACCCTTTTGGCTACTTCCTCGTCGTCACATCGAACTTTAGGTCTCCTCAGAAGTTCTGGACCGTCTATATTGACAGTTATTGTCGAATCAGATCTAGATATTAATTCAATATAGTACAAAGTGACACCGTTGCTTTCTAGCTTATGCGTCGGCTGACAATATAACAGATCCGCCAGGCTCACTTCAGTTACCACCCCTTTGGTACCACCGGAAATCACGCGAACTCTTTCGTTAGAAACAAGGACCCTCAGATTCTCCGTTCCACTGCGTAAACACTCATACGCCACGAATAATTCGGAATAATTGTGTTCGTTTATTATGTAAAGAAATTCTTGGCCCTCCGCTTGCTGACGGTTGTAAGGTGGTAGCAGACCGGCAGGACCACTAGCCACACGAGTAGGTCTGTCACGTTTTGGCATGGTACGATGAGCACTGAATACATCACAAATAAATAAAGAGAAATCATAAATATCGATTAATCGAATATATATTGAATGGAATTTAAAATGCAGTTACCTTCTACTAGTTTCTCTCACGGCAGTGGCAGTTTCTGTGGCAAGATCTAGAACTCCTACAACAGGCTTCGTGATGGTCCCGACGACCCCTTTGCCAAACCCAGCGAAAAAACCCTGAAATCGTTTATTATAATTTAATCAATTCGCAATCCATTCAATCTTTAATTTAAGAAAAAGAAAAACGCACGGGAAATCCTTCATTTGTTGCTCCGTCGTAGGTTTGTTTAAAGATGCTAGTTACTCCTCCAAGTAAACCAAAACCAAAACCTTTCAATCCGGCTACTAAATGATCGCCACTACCTGCCGTGTTGGCTCGAATTCTCTGTCTAGCTTCCTCGTGTCTCTCATCCATTATGACTCTTCCTAATCCATCGGAAAGGGATTCTGTTACCTTGGCAGCGGAATTCGATATGCCATGTGTAACATTTTTTACTAAAGTTTTCACACTTCCTTCGTAAATTAAACCGGATACTCCTTCTGTGACGTCGTTCACAAAGCCTAAAGGGTTGCCCAGAAAGTCCACAGATCCTAATATCACCGCAGCCTGCCACTTCAAATCCTGGAGTAAGAAAAAATTGATTGTAACAAGGAAGCGGAAAGGTAAATTGACAAATAAAGAATTGTTTACTGTCGTACATCCTTATAATGTTTCACAATGGAATGTACTAAGAACTGAGTGCTCTCGAACGGATGTTTCTTGATAAATGGCTCCAGCTCAATGGTGGCATCTTCAAACTTGATCAGCGTTAAACCTAATTGTCTTTTTACTAACTGAAGATGACGCGGTAATTTCGTCGTAGTGAGTACACTTAATTTTACCTGCAGAAATTATATTCACGTGAAATACTGCACGCTTTGTTAGAAACTCCGATTAGTAAAACCAACCTGACTGGGAACGATCTTTAAAGCACCAAAATAGTATCGTTTAGCGTGTGCAGCAGATACCTCGGAGATAAATCTCTGAGCCTTGAAATCATTCTCGTCCACAGGTGCCTCTAACTCCGACCTTCCTGCCCCGACGAAGGCAACCAATTTCAGTATCAATTTTTCTTCTAAATGTATGCAAAGTGGTTTGATGCTCACTACCACGTGCTTGTATATCTCTGCATTCTGGTTCTTCGACTTTAATTTTTCCGCGACCACGTGTACGGCTGGTCTGTGCTCACTCTCAACTCGGCTGGGTCGTGTTACATAAAGAACAGAAGTACATTGTGCCTCGAACAGTTGATTATCGATTTGTATGTCCTCCACGCTCAAATCTACGGTGGTGTTAACAGGCGTTTGAACTAATTCCAAAGAGATGTCGGCCAGACGAGCAAACAATAGTTCCTCAACCGGTCTTCGAGAAACAATCGACAACCCTAAGCCAGCTGTTAAATCGATCTTCAATTCTAATTCTTTGGAATTGACCTTCTCTGCGTCACTGTTTATTTGAGTCGGTCGGTGACTGATTGCAATGTGCGACCAGTCGCGTTCTTCCAACAGAGCGAACGTCTTTTTCTGCAAACAGAAATCAGAAATTGAGTACTGGCGGTACTTGAAGGTAATTATTTCGGCATTCATACCCTTTCTTTGATGTCTAAAACTTGGAGCACTCTTGTTGGGCCGTCAGTGGTTACCGTAACAGATAAAAAACCAGAGCCCGGTCTCAACTTTTGTCGGCCAACACGTTGTTCGATCGGAGGAGGGCTAATGTGCGTTTGAGGGCCTAATACCGCTTCACTCCCTAAAAAGACATAGAAAAACTGCGTATGACGAATATTTCCAAGGAGATTAAGTGGCTACATAAAAAGTCTAAAGTTAAAATATTATCTCATGCATTTTGTTACTTGATGAACATAGCGTTAATGAAATAAAAAAACAAGCGGAAGTTTGAACGTTTAAGATATTTAACTTAATTGGTGACTTTAATGTACTCCGAATCTATACGTACACATTTGCCAACGGGCGACACTGCCGCCTGCAACATTATCATTATGAGTTTAAGATTCACGAGGATAGTGATAATTCGTAGAATAAACGGAGAAAACAGCTAGAAATTTTAAATTAGTTGTATGTGAGGAATACAGAACATTGATTTGTAACTACACATTTACAGCCACTGCTCAAACCGAGATACTTATACCTGTATCTTGTTTTTCAAATTAATAGTATACAAAAGAAATGAAGTATTGTTTTAACCGCTTTAACATCTCAATTTGCGTGGCATAATGATCATATCAGCGAATGCTAATTACTTCAATGAGTAAATTATGTGAAAGCTGTGGCAAATAAAGTAAAAGGGCATGATAATGAATAGAACAAAATTTGTGTATAATGTGGATTAAAGAAAAATAAAAAATTTTTGCAATTCTTCGGTCTTTTTGTCAATTATCAAAGCAATCCTACTTGTATGTACAATCTATTCTGAATATAAAAAGGTCTATATAAAAAATAACAAAACAATTAATAAAAATACTGATTAAAAAACAATGCAACGCTCAGTAATCATAACGTTTCAAACCTTCGTGTAATCCCATGAATCCATCTTTCGACTGTACGCACATATTCTTATGCGCACAACATAATCGTCCATCGTCAGTGAATCGCCAAGTTTGTGTGGATCTTCTTCGAGAATCAGGTTTCCTTAAGGCAAGAGCACAATAGGTGAATGGTTGAGGTGCTGTACCTGCTATGTCCAACACCAACACCGTTTCCGGAGTCCTTGAATGCTTGTCTCTGGGTGGACTAGACCCTATTCAGATCAAAAAAAGATCATTTTAAAATAATTGCCAGAAATATAAGAAGGCATATTAACGAAGACATTCTTTCCATAATACCTTCATGCTGCAATTGACCATCTCCAGTCATCCTCCATAGCTGAGATCTAGCACCATATTGTTTCCTCCGTAGAGCAACCCAACCACCAGGACCAGCTTCTAAGACTAGTCTCTGTGTTTCAACATCTAGAGGATCTAAACCACCCTCTCCAGTCCCCAGATCGCAATCAGTTTTAAATGTTCCTATTTTCAATATATAGTGTGATTTACGGGAGAAAAGTAATTAAATATCATATAAAAAAAAGAAACAAATTACCCGTGAAAGCAATGTAAATGAAATTCTCATAAGTTAGAACTCTGCCCTCTCCAAGTGCATTCAAATCATATGTAGCTGTCACGCCTCCCGGTGCAGTCAGAATTAAAGCAGCAGACTCTATTGATTCATCTAGTGCGTACGGTACAGAGGAATGCGGTCTGACAGTCCATTGCAAGTTGTCGTGTACGGTAATCTACAAAAAACATTCTTGAAAATAATTTCTAATTAATTCAATTAAATGGTATAGCGAAAATTGATGATTAGACTGCAAATTTATGCATTTGTGAAAAGTTTACAGGAATGCACAGAGAATGCACATAACATTTTTTCAATATCTTCATAAAAATCTGCAGATGATGATATTTGAAGCATATTTGATTGTACGTCTTGATTAGTCACCTGATTTACTATCAAAGGCACCTCTGAGAAATTGTCTACTCTTATAGGTGGTGGCATAGTGTCTGCATCGGTGAACACTACAAAGTACGTACTTTCTTGTAAAACTACGTCCACTCGAAGAAAATACATCTTTCCTGTCGAATCTCTGATATTAACTGTCAATGAATAATTATCATCCAATTTGATACCGCCTGACCACATGCAGTCTTTAACATCCATAATGCGAACACATAGCAACAAATCTTTGTCAAGACGTGGCCAATGAAATGCCATGTGGCAGTTAGGCATAATTTTAATATATGTGGCTTGAGCATCTGGATGACTCTGAAAAATGAAAAACAATGGGATGCTACAATCATAAATAAATTTTCTGTTGTTACTTACGATTGTCGTAGTAAAACATTTCTGGGCTAGCTCCAAAGTAGAGCTTGATTTATTGTGCAGCTGATATCTAGGAGACAACGTGACTACGCTCGTAGCTCTGTATTTTCCTCTAGCTATCCTGGTAGCGACACTAATTAGATACACTATGTCAGGCCTGCCGTCACGAAGAGATATTCTAAGACGAT